ACTTTCTGCTGTTTCTTTTATTTTATTTAATAAATAAAATATTGTGTTTTTTTTTATATGAAAATAATTAAAAAAACAAATTTTTAATTTTAAAAAACGTGTTAAAATTATTAATGAATTATCTTTAAAGTTTCAGATTATTCGAATGTAATATGAATAATTATTCTTTTAAAATTATCTATTATCTAAAACAAATATACATATGTTAAACAAATATTTTAATCTAACCAATTATTTATGGTATATTGAATCGGGATAATAATACATTTTAGGAATCGAAAAAAGTCAATTATTAATTTCAAATGATTTTTATTTACCAATTTTTAATTATTTCAATAAACTTTTTTACATCATTAACGTAAATAAAATTTGTTAAAATGATATGTTTTATACATCATGATTTTATTCTGATGTAATTTTAAGAATAGTTTAATTATATAAAAATAATATTTGTTTTTTAAAAAGAAAAAATCAAAAGGTTATCAATTAAAAACAAAGAAGGACATTTATAAAAAAAATTAAAATGTAATATTATGTATGTTTTTAATACTTTTTATGATTATAACTAAATATAATTTTTAAATAAGTATACATTAAAATTACATACAAAGGAATAAAAGGTACTATAAAGTTTTTATATTTTTTCACTGAATTTAGATTATAACATCATATATATATAAAATGTATAAAAAGGAATGCATATATACATATACATATATAAATAATAACGATATACTTATTTAAAAATTAAATTTATGGAAATAATTTTGTTTTTTCTTTTTTTCATTTTCTTAAAATATTAATATATATTTACAAACTTTATTTTTATTAATATCAAAAAGCAAAAAACACAAAAAAAAAATTTACAAATATTTTTCTATTATTAATCATTATTATATATTGTAAAATAAAAAGAAAGAAAAAAAAATTAAAAAAATTATTAAAGTTTTGTAAATATATTAGCTCATCATAATATACTAATGTAAATATTCAAAATAAATGCATATACATTTATAATATTGTTTTTTTCCTTTGATTATGTAACTTTTAATATTTAAATTAATATTAACATAAAAACAAATATTGAATTTGAATTAAATAAGAAAAAAAATTAATTCCAATATATACATGTATATAATTATTATAATATAAAAACTACCAATAACTTACAAAAATCTTTGTAAAAAAAAATCAATATATAAAAAATGTTATATTATAATTTATTTTATATATTATGCAGAGTAAATGATCATATATTATATTCTGTATAATTATATTAATACGCATCACTTGACATGACGGGATATTATTCAATATTTTTGTTATTTTCGGAATAAAATCTGAAATTTAAAAATTCTATAGGTACTAAAAATCTGAATATTTTTAAATATAATATATTAATATCCCATCAGTTCAAGAGATCCATCTAAGAGAATAAAATAAGGGTATTTATATTTTTTTCTTCTATTGAAAAAATAATAATTTAAGTTTTCAAATTACATTTTATGACCATATATACATGATAATATAGAATATTGTTTATTTTAGTAAAAAAAAAATAAACCTTAAATATTTCTATAATATAATTATATACATAAATTATTTACATATTACATTATTATAAAAAATATTTAATTTTTATTTTTTACCTACAAGTATAAATAATTTTTATGTACTTCTTTTTTTTTCAAATATATATACACTCCTATATATATACATATATATATATATATATACATTTATATTATGTTTTCATAAATTATTATTTCTTATGTCATTCTTTTGTAATTATTTGAGTATAATTATATATGATTTATAAAATGAATATTTTAAATATAAATATAATATTATCATTTTCACATTTTTCTCCTAAATAATACATAAAATTTTTTTCAATATATAAATTAGGAATATTCATAAAATATATTTTGCGTAAAATTTAACTTTTAAAAATGTCTACATTAAAAAAGGTTAATATAAAAAGATTAATATAAAAATACGCAAAATTTTAAAAAAGTAAATACTTTAAATGTAACAATAAAAATAAATAAAAATTGTTTAAAATAATTATTTTCTTAAAAAGAAATTACGAATTTTACAAATTTAATTCGATATTATACAAATATTTAATTAATTTTCCAATACACATAGGAAATTTATATTTGCAAAATTTTTCAGAACAAAAATTGAAAATTTAACTTTGAAATATTTAAAAATGAATATTCCTTATACATAATAACCTATATATTTCTAAAGTACACAACATTAATATATTTTTATTTGTATATATTACATATAATTTTGATTTATACAAGGATAATAATTTTGACAAAATTTCAATCTAATTATTATACTTATTTTTTTGTTTTCTTTTTTATTGTTTTTTAAATTATATTTAAAAAATTATAAAATATATTAACAAATAAAAAAAAACGAATTGTTGGAACCAATTGGCTTTAGCTGATATCTATAATACAATGATGAATATATAAAACAAAAAAAAACATTTTTAGTAAAAATATCATAGAGAGCCTAATTTTTTACTTATTTTTTAAGAATAAACATTTATGATACTCGTATAAAGAAATTAAAAAAAAACCAGTATATTTTTTTATATACAAAACAGTCATAAAAAAACATATTAAGATAATTTTCTTTTTTTTAAGTCAATTTCATTGTTTCTGCTTCACATCAAAATTTATATCAAAAACATTAATTTAACAACATTTTAAACACAAAAATTTTATTTTTCTTTTTTTTCTCAACTACATAAAACAAAAAAGCAAAATAAACTTTTATTATTAATTGCCCCCTCACTAAAATCTCTGGAACACAATGATTTAATATATATTTATAAAAAAATAATTTTATTTAAACAAAACAAAAATTAATTATTTTCTTTATTTAAAATCATTACACTATACCAGAGGAGCTTATAAATGGCGGCCATTAAAATTACACAAAATGTACAATAATAAATTTAAGAAATTTAAAAAAGTTAATTAATTAAATATTAAGATACATGATTGGCTGAATTATTTTTTGCTTTTTTTCTCTTTATTCAAAATAATAATTTTCATTTTTATTTTTAATTTTTTTTTTACATTATTTAATTTTTTTCTTAAATAAAATCAATCCAGTTTTGCAAAACACAAAAAAAAAAAAATATTGATAAAAAACACTTTAACTCTTCGAACAAAAAAAATTTTTTTTTGTAAAATTTTTTTGCAAAATTGGATTGCTCTATTTCATATTTTTCGATATGAAAAAGAACGAAAAAAAAATGAGACGTTAGTGACAAAAAAAAAATAAAAAAAATACATAAGAATTTTTTAATTGAATGTCCAAAAATGTTGAAAGTTAAGTTGAATTTAATCAGGCCTAAAAACAATAAATTAAAAAAAAATTTAAGATGAAAAGCAAATTTTTTTTAAAATTATTTTCAAAATTTTTCAAAATTTTCCCAGGTGGACTTTTTATTTATTTAAAACTACAAAAAAAAATTATTTAAAAAAAAAAATGATTTGTTTTCAATTTTTTTTTTGTTTTAATTTAATTTTTTAATTTCATTTTGATAAAAAAAAAAATTATATTTTAAAGAACAAAACAAAAAATAAAGTATAAAAATTATGGTTTTCTTAACCAATTGGTTCCCAATAATTGTATTTGAGAACCTGTTGGATTTGAAATGTAACAAAAAAACAAAAGAAAAAAAAATTAAAATAAAATACAAAAAATTAAAAAATTCCTTTTTTTAATACTAAAAATATATTTTTTGTTATGTTTTCATTTATGTTTCTTATTTTTGATACTTTTTTTTTTGATTTTCTTTTAAAACACCCTATACATGATCACATGATCCATTCAATTTATGAATTACTTTCCAAAATTGAAAAAAAAAAACAAAGAAATACCATAAAATTTTATATTATTTTTTTTTTAAAAGAAAATCATTTTTTAACACTAAAGTAAAAATTCCTTACAATTATACAAAATAAAAACTTAATATTATTAAATTAATATAAGTTCTCAAATTTCTAAACTCCAAATTTTGATACTTTTTGAAAAAAAAAATAACAAAAGTAATAATAATTCCAAAAAAATATTTTTTTTTCTTACTTTTTTTGTAAAATTTATAATTTTATAAAATTACATAATTTTCAATTTCTTTCTCTTTATTTATTTTGTTTTCTTATTTTTGATAATAAAGTATTATTAAAGTACAGTCCCCACATCCTGGGTAGAATTCAAAATTCAAATTCTAATTACCGCATTCTTCTTGTTTTCCTCCTTTTACCAAAAATAGAACAAAATCAAAACATATTTTATGCTCGTTTAGCCAGATTTATTATAATCTTCGAAATTTCAAATATTTCAATCTAAAAATAAACAAAAAAAAATTATCATTAATTTTTTTGTTAACTCAAAAGACTTATATGAATTTACTTTTTTTTGTTATATATTTTTTGGTTCATATATATATATATATATATATTCCTAATTACACTGATATATATATATATATATATATATATATAGATATATAATAATATTGAAATATTTTCTGTGTAAATAGTACATAAATACCTGTTACATGTCTATATAACTTAAATATTAAATGTAAAAACGAATATTATATCAAAAAAATGCCTATTTATTTTGCCTGAATCAAATTTTTAAATTCAAAATAATATCCAACAAAAAAATAATAATAAAAACAATAAATTAAATTCAACTCAAAAGTCACTATTGTCTCTTTTTTTTCTTTTTCATTCTCGATTTACAATTGCATCCTGCTACTACGCACATACATTGCACATCTTCCATGCGCACCAAAATATTAAAACAAAATAAAAAATATCAAAAAAAAAAATTGCAAAAAAAATTTTTTATTACAAAAATCTATAAACACAAAAAAAAACTAAAATAAAATTAACAAAAAAAAAAAAACAAAACGGCGAAAACAACCACTTAATCAATAACAACAATATCAACAACAGGTAGCAATGCAAGTAACAGCTTATTAGGTGGCGTTATAGTACCTAGCAATAATAATGATGGCAAAGCAAATAGTGCCGCTGCTGCAGCTGCTGCGGCTGCTGCTGCTGCTGCCGCTGCTAATTATGCTCAGCAACTGCATCATCATTTACAAAGTCCACATCGATCACATTTATCACATTCGCATTCACAACATCATCCGTTAATTGATCATCCTTTATCACCAGTTGGTTCCCATCATTTAAGCTTACAACAGCAACATCAACAACAACAGCAACAACAACAGCAACAACTTCAACATCATAATAATTCATCTGGTGGTGCTAATAATATGATTTCTGGTAACAATAGTAGTTCTATTGATACATCACCAATACATCATCATCATTTACACCATCACCATCCACATCAATTTCATCGACATCGTTCCATATCACCGACAATTTTATCTGGCAGTGGTGGTAATGGTTGTAATAATAATAATCATAATAATAATGGTCGAGGTTCAGTTGGTAGCGCCGATTTAAATATATCCGATGATTTAAATATAAATACACGTAGTAGTCGTTCATTACTTGGTAATGACATAACAAATATTACCGTTAATCCAAATTTAAACAATAATGGACGACTTGTTTTACCATTACCATTAACAGCTTGTCACCGTTGTGATGTTTGTGGTAAACTTTTAAGTACTAAATTAACATTAAAACGTCATAAAGAACAACAACATTTACAGCCATTAAATAATGCTGTTTGCAATTTATGTCATAAAGTTTTTCGTACATTAAACAGTTTAAATAATCATAAAAGTATTTATCATCGTCGTCAAAAGAATCATCACCACTCTTATTTACATTCACATAGTTTACATCATTCATTGTCATTAAATAATAACAATAATAATAGCAGTAATAATAATAATAATGGTAGTAATCGTAATAGTGTAAATAATATGATAGGCGGTAACGGAAATGGTCCAGGTAATGTCATTAGTTCATTAATGGCCAATCCAAATGATTTACAACATTCACCAATAAAGCCATGTATGGATTTTTTATAAATTCGTTATGGTGGAGGAGACGTCGTCATAGATTGTTACAACAATTGAGGCGGCAACGTTAAAAATGATTTACTCCGAAACCATAACGTAGAAAATTTTAAATATCACAATAAAAATAAAACACTGTATAAAGTAAAAAAAAAAATGTAAGTATACATAAAAATGTCTAGTATTCAGATAAAATTTTAAGGAATAAAATTTAATAAAAAAAGTTTGTAACATATGAAGTTATGATAAATCAATTATATAATAATTATAATTTTAATTTAGACTGAATAACAATGTTATTTAACAATTACCTTCATCTTATTAGATTATTAGCTTAAATTTATCATTATATTCCTAATATTATCTTTTAATACCACATAAATTTTATTTTCCGAAAATTTATTCCTTTTAATTCGGTTGAAAATAAATAAATCCAAACAAACTTGCAAATAATTTTCATCCACTACAAATTATTCTGAAATGATACATTTATATGTTTCATTATAAAAAGCTAGAATTCACTAATTTAAATACATTATAATTGAATTAATAAATAAATTATAATAATTTATAATGATTTATTTATAATAATTGCAACAAAATAATTTTTATTCTGTCTCATATAATTTTACAATTACAATTTATTTAAAAAGTATACCTTGTTTAAATCAGTTTTTAATCTGTTATCAATATTTATAATATGTATAATAAACAAAATACCATTTTGTAAAAATTGTACATAAAATTCAATTTGTAGAAATAAAGTTATTCGTATAGAAAATTCAAGTATTCATCATAGGCATTTTTGTATATACACATATAAATACAGATTTTACGGTTAATTAATAATAAAAGATTATAAATTGAATTTTTTCATAAAAAATAAACTTCCAATAAATTCTCACAATAGGAGAAAATCGCATAATAACCTAAATTATTCAATTTATCTGTTTTTTCTTTAAGTTTTGCAAATTTTTAACTTAATTTTATAGATTTTAAAATGAATAAATTTTTTATACTCGCATTGTATTCTTTAAAACACAAAACTGTTAAAATTTTTCCATTTTCTCGTTATATCGAAATTATTACAAGTTTTCTTTATTAAGTTTTTTCCAATGTTCTTTTTTGTTTTCATTCCATCAATGTTGTTTTTCATTAAAACAAAATAATTAATTATTTTAATTAAAACAATTAATAACTTTGATATCTCAATGTTACAATACCATGTCAACTTTTTACATTATAATATGCTGATCTTTTTAAAAATTAAAACATGAAAACTTTATACATAATACATACATGTATATTAACTTCCACCACCGTAAAGTAAATATATTCATTAATAAAATAAAATGTTAAAAATTTTTAAAATTTAAATTAAAATTAAATTTCAATTTTAAAATTTAAATGTTACAAAATAATCAATATACTTTAATAATAAATATTTATAATTTTGTATCAACTCCTACATGGCTTGATTTATTAATTATATTTTAAATGGAAGGGAATTTTCAATATATAAAATTAGTTCTTATTATAATTTTATTTGTTTATTCTTATAATAATAAAACAAAAGCTAAATATATGGTAAATGAGAGTGCTATTTTTTAATTGCATCGTATATAGCGGTAACATATTTCAAAATATTACAATGATTATTAAAAAGTAAAAATAAATAAAATAAACTACCATTATTATTATGTTATATATAGTAAATGAATTGAAAATAAATAAGTAAATTCATTTAAAAAATGTGTATACTATCTTTGTATATACATACTTTTCATTTCTTTTCATTTAATTCAAATTGGGAATAATTTACGTTATTATAATTACGTTGTTAAATTTTTAAAGCAATTAGTTAAAATGTTATTTAAATAAAAATTGTTGCTATTTTTTTTTTTTTTAAATATCTTATTACAAAAATAAAACATTTATTATTTTTGCATAAGTTAATGGTTCATTTTAAATCATTCTAATTATAATATTCAATACGATCTTTATAAATTTTTTTCTCATATTTCAATTTATAAATTATATGAATTTTTATATATTTCTTATTTATATTTCAATTTTTAAATCTTGATCTAATTTAACACATGATATAATAAATTATAAAATTTTTCAATTATTATTAATATTAATCAATCACATAAAAAAACATGAATTTCTCATATTTATTACAAATGTTATCACAATTATATAAAACTTAATTATCAATTGCTTACATTAAATTTATTATTTTAACTAACATTTACAATAAACTTATAACCATACAAAAAAAAAACGAACCTTTGCTTAAAGTATGGCAAAAAGTTATCGTCACTTTCCAGTTCCTCAACTCGTTCCTCTTTATAAATATTTAAAAGCTATAATTTGAATACATTTACTATATATTTATCCATTTTAAATCGCAGTATTGTTCCCAATTTGATTTCATTAATAATACATATATAAAAAATGCATATATGAAAAGGAAAAAATTTCAAAATTCAAGAAAAAACTTGAATAAAAATTTTTATTTTAATTTACTGCATGGATCGATTTTAATCACATGTTACATTTTAATAAAAAGAAATAAAAAAATATGATCTCTTTGTTTCTTTAAATTTGCAAACATCAGCTATATTTTAAAGAAATAATTAAGAAATAAATAATTAATTATGAACTGATAAAATGTTAAACTGAGAATATTATTAAAAAAAAATAGTAATTAATAATAAAATGCAACTCTCTGTGATTAAATTTATTAATTTAGAAAACGAAAATTTAAAAAAAAAAATATTTTATTATTATTACTTTTTTTTATGAATTTTTCTTACCTTATTTATTATAACTGACTGTTTCGAAACAAATATTTAAAAAAAAATAAGTATAATAATTATGACTGATATTTTTTAATTTATAATTATTAATTTAATTGATATATATATAAATATATAATATTTAAATTATATATATATAATAAACTTAAAGAAATTAATTATTATTTAATTCAATTTAACCTAAGTATAATGAAAATTGCATTATAAAAATTTAATAACTAAATAATTTCGATTTATTATTAAAATAAAAACGTATAATTTCAATTAATTTGCTCCTTAATTAGAGCATATCGAAAAAATCATAGGGATTATTTGAAAAGTATCATAAAAAATTTTCTCTGTAATATAATTTCTTTTTTAAATTAATTAAATAAAATTGGAATTTAGTAATTTTTAATAAATTTTTTTTTAAATTTATCATAAATTTTACCACATTATGTGCATTTATTAAATAGCTTATTTAAGCAATTTAAGAATTGAGTAAATGCTACAAGTAACCGAATATTGTACTTCTTACTAAAGATTAACAAAAAAATAATACAAATTTGCAACTTTTCATAATTATTTAATTAAAAAGTTGAATTAAATGTAATAAATTTCTTTTAGATTTATTTTAGACTTTTTTTTTTTTTCACATTAAATTATAAGTGAAACTTTCAAAGCCAATGATTCGTTTTTTTTTTTTCTTAACTAAGAAAAACAATTAATATTATAATAAAATTAAAGAAAAAATAAAAATAAAATAAGTAAATATATAAGAAATTTTAAATAAATTGTGCAATCTGGTTTTGTTAATAACTAATTCAAAATTATTGTTTTGTTTATTTTCTTTATTATTATTTTTTAAATATTTAAACATTTAAATATATAATATATTTATATAATAAATTGTGTACTTTAGAAAGATCATAAACTTAAAAATAAGAGATGAAAACGACGTCATATTGTAACATTATACACAAATTATATTATAATAAGTAAAAATTTATTATAATTTATATTTTATAACTATAAGTATATTGTTTTATAAATGTATATATAAATATTAAAATAATTATTATAAATGTAAGACCCCTCAGTTAATTTTTTTTTATATAATCTGTGTTTTTTTTTTTTTTATTATTTTCTTATTTAAGATTTTTACTTAAACTGTAATATATTTAGCAATTAAAAATTAAAAAAAAGTATATAAAATGTACATAAAAACATTTCGACTGAAATATTTTCAAAATTTTTTATAATATTTAATTTAAAATAAAAAATGAAGAAAAAAGAAAAAAAAAAGGAAAAAAATTTAATGAATATTGACCATTTAGCAAGTATTAATTAAGAAAGTTATTTTTTTTTAAATAAAAATTATAAATATATAAAATATATTAGTTACATATATATATTTCATTATTTTATATTATATTATATAATTTATAAAAAAAAATACATGTATACATTTTTTTTATTTAATTTTCATTTTTGGTGCTACATTTTTATATAGGGAAAAATATAACAAAAGAATGTTAAATTAAATTTAAAAAAGTCTAAAAAGGAAAGGATAAAATAAAAAGCATAATTTTAAGACGAAAATAGCAACTATAAGTAAATTAATTTTAAAAAATCTTTAATATTTAAAATAATTTTCTTTGAAAAGAAAAGAATATTTTCTTTAAAAAGCACAACCACATAATTTTTAAATATTTTATATTTCTTTCTAAAATTTCTTGTAAAATTTATCAAATTTTACAAGGATTTAAAATTTTTTATTTAAATATATTATTAATTTAAGTATAATTATAACATTATATCTTATTTTAGCACAATTTACATCGATTCTTTTTAACTTTCAAATGAAAACTTTTTATCAATGTGATTTCAAGCAAATTCATATTAAACGAAATTTGTTGACCCATCGGAAAACTTCTTAATTATGTACAATCAGTTCTATTAAACTGTTATACAAGATGAAAAGTAAATACTATTTTCTAATAACATTTCCAATTAACTAAATAAATTTTTAATAAAATCTCCCCTGAATCATAGTTGCTATTTTATGTTGTCTTAAATATTGAGTTGAAACAAAATTAAATAAAAACATTTTTTTTATTTTTTGACAAAAATGGACTGATTAGAATTAAAGTAGGAGTATTTTGAAAGAAATATTAAAAATTAAAATAAAAGCAAAAAAAAATCATATAATTTTGTATAATCTTTTAAAAAAATTTAATTAAATTGAAAATTTCTGAATTTTTTTTTTTTTTTTTTGTTTGGATGAAAGTATTCGTGATTTCTAAGATAAATGAAAATATTTAGGTATATTCGCTTAAAAAGATTTTATTTTTAACATATATATTACTTTAGATTAACCAAATTGTGATCATGACTTAT